GTGGGGGGGTGGGGAGCGTTGCAGCAAAAAAAGATCATTCTCCAGTGTTGGAAAGATGATACAACCTCAGAGTTACAATAACGGATCACCAATGTTTTACTTTCTGGTTATGAGTCATCTTTCTATCAACATCATGAAAATATTATTTTTTGTGGCTGCGGTTTTAACAATGCATTTGAAAACTAGGGGGAATTATTTCTTATATGTAATGCATGTTTACTGTATATTGTTTCTTTTTTCTGTTGCTTTTTGTTTCTGTGTTTTTCTTTTTTCTCTTTTTTTATATTATTTATATTAAATCAATATTTTTTATATTGATTTATATTAAATCAATACAAAAATTAAATATAAAAACAATCACTGTTGGAATTTAGTTGTGCTAGGCCCTATGAAATTATCATTTTAACATGAAGGTGTTTTATATCATAGTAAATAACAGAAGAAAGAGTTGGTGTTAAAAGTACAAAGATTCATATTGTTACTTTCAGTTCTGGAAAAACGTCTTTCTAACACCAGCAACAGGACATCTCTCATTCCTTTTAATAAGTACCAGACCTCTCAAAAACTAGCTCTAACAACTGTGGAAACTCGTCATGTTTTGTGTTTTTGTTTTTAAAAAAACCCTCCATTTCTAATACAACCCTTTTCCGCATCTGTTTCAGCCTTTCCAAGGTTATATCACCTCATTCCAGATGGTGAAATTACCAGCATTAAGATCAACCGCAGCAATCCCCATGAAGCTCTTGCCATTAGAGTGGTTGGAGGCAACGAAACACCTTTGATTCACATAATCATTCAGCACATCTATCGAGATGGGATCATTTTCAAGGATGGAAGATTATTGCCGGGAGATATGATTCTGAAGGTAAAGGTTCAGAGAAGTGAGCACGAATGTAAAGGGGCTTCAACAGTTGAAGTTCAGGCACAGTTTTCAAGAAAGGTTTCTAATGTGATCTGAGGTCATGCTTGGAAGACAACCAGTTCAGGCTTTACAAAGAGGAGGTGACAGAAGCTAAAGTGGAAAGAGAGCATTTCTTTTTCTACAAGCTAATTAAGATAGACTTGCTCTGAAATTAAGCATATGGAAGCCTTTTCAACAACAATCTAGAGCCAGGCTATTTGGATTTAAGTTGGCTTTCTTTCTGCTGTCTCTACAAAAACCAAAGTTCATTTCCTATGAAAATGAAAATATCTTTCAGCAATTAAAGCTTAGGTATCCAATATATCACCTACATGGCTACCAGTGGCATAGGCAATGGAGGTTTGGGGTGCATGTAGAGAGGAGCACATAAAATAGAGACCTTACTACTCTATAAGACCTGCAAAAATCTGGATGGCAGATTAGTTTCCTGTCTCCCTTTGTTGCCACATACAGGTTGTCTGAATATTTTGCAACTTCTATATGATGTGCTTACAGCATACAGTTAGGCCTAAACTGTACTAAGGTGAAGTCTTTTTCAGCCCTGGTGGCAGTTTGTTCTGTAACACGGGCCCAGCCACTGAGAAAACAAAATTCATCGTTACTGTTTAATGTGTCCATCCATAGTCATCTGCAAGGGGGAGGTAAGGCAGGGAGAGGGGAGCAAATGATGAATTATGTATCACAACATAAACCATGTGACTTGCAAGTTCAAAAGATTGGTTTTGTTGTGACATTGTGATGCATGTTTCATCTTTTCCCATCATTGCAGTTTTTACCAGATAGAATCCACAGCAGATCCCATAAAAGATTCCTTCTTTATGACTTTACAATGCAGAGCAAACTGTATGGGAGTAGATAGAACATAAGTAATTTAGGACTAAGTAAGGCTTCCTGCACCATGGTGAGAACCTTGAATTGACTGTGCAAGCAACTGACAACCAGTAAGGCTGTTTCAACATGGTGTTGCATTCTGAGCCATCTTCAAAAGACCTATGAAGAATGCATTGCAGTGGTCCAGCTCTGAGATTCAGTTTATTACATGATGGTCAAAGATGATACAATCCAACACATCTGAAAAGCACCACATTAGCAAAAGTTGCTCCTGATGGGGGAGGAAAAAGACAAAGTGCTTTTGCAATATCTTTCCCCAATAAAGACAGTGGCTACTATTATATAATTAGTACAAATAGGCTAAGTCACCTTTTCCCTGTATTAAGCATTTCAACTGAGCCCAGTGGCCATAATTTCCAGTTATAAATAACCATAATAGGAAATTATGGTTCACCATTGGTTTCTATGTTCAAACTCAATCCATGGTTAAGGAACTATGTGAGATGGTTGAAGTTCATAGCACATTAATCATATTAATTAATTAAAAGAACTTACATGGCCTACTCACATAGTGATCCTAGGCAGCTCACAAGAACCAATAAAAACAGAATAAAATGAGAACAACCCTTCCCACCGGGCACCAGAAACTATCAACCCGCTAGCTCAGCTCCATCCTACTCCAATACTGGGGGAAGAGTCAGGTCTTTGCAGCCTTCTGAGAGGCAAAAAGGGTAGGAGCCCCTTGAATCTCAGGTGGGAGGGCTGGGCAGCTACAGAGAAGGCATGCTTCCAAGGTCAGCATTTAAAGGAGGAGACCTGGAGTGAACCCACTTTATCTGAAAGCGAGGCAGTCCACATATAACCTAGCCCTGCGCTATGTAGGGTTTTAAAGGTGATAACCAGCACCTTGAATTTCACCCAGAAAGCAACTGGGAGCCAGTGCAGCTTACACAACAGCAGTGTGACTCACACAAACAATGGGGCATCCAGAACTGTGTGTGCCACTGCCTTCTGGATCAGTTGCAATTTCTGGATATAGAGTGAGGGTAGCCCCATGTACAGCGCATTGCAGTAATCCAATCTGGAGGTGACTAAGGCATGAGTGACCCTAAGCAATGTTATATGAACACTTTTATAATCAATGTTGTGTGAATATATTTACTGTTTCAAAGCTTAAGGGAGGCAGTAAACAGAAGGGTAAACAGAAGAATCAATCCACTTTCTAGCCTTGAAACATGAACACATTTCCTTAGGATTAGGGGACTTTAGGAATACCCTATCTCTATCTCCAACATTATTGCTGAAACTTCTTTACATCTTTTTTAGAGTAGAATAACTTTAGTTGCTAGAGAAAAGTTTATGTTTGACAGAACCTTCTTAGAAAGTTAATTGCTGTACCATGAAACTATATCACTAGATCTTTTATTTATTTTTCTTAATAGCATTGGAAGCACTAGCAGAGGTAGAGGCAAATATCCTAGCAAAACATATGAAAACAGCTTAAACAAATCATGGGTATGAAATGTTTTGGTTGGAAGCCATTTCAACTGTATGTGACTTCCTGAACATTTAAACCCAAGGCCTTCTGCAAAGTAGCACCCACTCCCTCGCTCCAGCATCGGTTCCACTAGTTGTCCTGTCTGGAAACCAAAAGAAGCCATGGACCCTTATCAGCACTCACAGTGCCTTTTTTTAAAATTTAAAGATTGGTAAGCAGTTTCCATCTTAACCCAAAGGACATCAAGTTTAGAGATTATATATATATACAGATACAGATATTAGAGAAAAAATGGGACAGGAAACAGTATTCCTGAGGAATGGCAGTAAACTCAAAGTAAGATAAGGGAGGAGCTGTTGGACTAGTCTAATGAAAATAAAAAATAGCCATCATAATCAGCAAGAAAGGAAGAAATCAGTGAGGGAGGGGTGTGTGAGAGAGAGTATAAGGTTCTCCTTATACTCTCTCTCACACACCCCTCCCTCACTGATATAAGGTTCTCCTTATACTCTTCTGCAACAAGAAGTCATGTGGGTAAATAGTATGGCTGTGTGCAGTTCAGCCTCAGTTGTACATGGCTGACTTATGGTTCTGTTTTCCAGGTCAATGGC